TTTTTTTTTTTTTTTTTTTTTTTTTTGCATTATGTGCAAATATTATATCTATAAAATGTTTTAACTTAAGGAACTCATCATGAGGTAGAACACAATTAAGTGCTTCGTAATTTCTCTCCTGTGATCCGCTGCTCTCGTGGACCCGCCACTGCCATGGCGGGGCCCCACCTTGACCCAGAGACAAAAGCCACAGGGGTGCGCCAGGGTGGGGATGTGGCCAGCCCCTCTGGGAATGACCTTAAGGGGAGCAAATCTTCCCTTGAAGGCGGACTTGGGTTTCAGAAACAGCCCAAGGTGGAGATCAGCCTGAGACAGTGCAGGAAACAGGCCAAGGCCAGGGGTCTGGAGTCAGAGGCCCACCTGGGATGCCTGGCTCTGCACTCTCTGGGGACATCATGGTCACTTCCCTGCTGGGTGCCTCGGTTTCCTCGTCTGTGTGGTGAGGGTGGCAGGGCGAGTGATAACTCCTCCCTGCATGGCAAGTTCTCTGCCTCTGGCAAGGGGAACTGCGCGCAGAGGAGAGATTGTTACCTTGAAAAGCAAAGAAAGGGATTCCTTAAGGAGCCCGGGTCTGTGGCTGGTTCTCGGGGGCGGAGCTTCGGGAAGCCAACCTCGCTGAGAGGCCGCATTGTCTGGGGAGTGTCCAGCTGGAACGTTCATGAAGGTCTGGGAGCCAAAATCAATACTGCTTTTCCATCTGAGACTTCGGTCGCTTAACAGCAGCTGGGGGCACCCCCCTTCACCACTTTGTCCCCAGCATCCTTACCCTGCACCAGCCTCCAGGTTATCAGCCCCGTCTGCTGACAGGTGACATCTCTGAGGTTGGGTTTGCTCACCTGTACAACGGCAACAATAATATTTATCCCATAGGACCGGCGATTCCAGGGCAGGCACTATGCCCTGAATGCCCACTGCTGGGTCCCCATGCCTGGTATAGTGCCTGGAAATAGTAGATGACCAACAGTGATTGGCTGAGCAGATGGTCGATGGGAGAAGCTTACCTAATCATGCCCTATGGCACCTGGCATCCCTAGGGAGGCAGAGGTTGGGACCCTGGGGTGCTGCCTCTCCCAACGAAAGAGTACCCTAAAAGCTTCCCCTGCCCTGCCTCCTCCTAGACCCAGAAAAGCCACATTCAGGGAATCGGGCTATGGGCAAAGGGAAGACTTGAGTGTAATCCCCAGGGTGAGCCATCTCCGGAATGGTGACATCAGTGCCCTTCCTGTGCCAGGACCCTCCTTCCCACCCGAGCCAGGGAGAGAGCCTGCCTGCCAAGGGGACAGACCAGGAATGCATTCATTCCCACCCAACTCCTGCCCTCTGTCCAAGTCATGCTCAGCGTGAGGCCAAGCCCACGGGGCAGTTCTGGGACCTGGACTAGCTTGTTCCATTGTGTGACATCCCCGTCACCTTGGGACAAGCTCCCCTCCCCCTCCCTGTTAGTCTCTGACTCAGGGGCCATTTGGCAATATCTGGGGACACTTTCATTGCTGAAATTGGGGGTGTTACTGGCATCCAGCAGGTAGAGGCCAGAGATGCTGCTAAACATCCTCCAGTGCACAGGACAGTCCCCGCAACAAAGCATCCAGCTCGAAATGTCAGCAGTGCCTACTGTTCCAATTAGTACACCTCCTCCGACTAGGAAGGGCCCCATTTTGCAGGTAAAGAACCTAAGGCTCAGAGAGGCTGTCTAAACTGCCCAAAGTCACACAGCTTGTAAGCAGAAAAGCAGGGTTCAAACCTAGCACTCTCTTGACACTAAATCTTGAGCTCATTTCACTGCCCCACACAGTTTCTGTGACACCTGTCCCCGGGACAGGCCTAAGGTCACCAAACGCCCCTTCCCCAAAAGAAAGAATAAACAGGGACCTCACCCTGGATCTTCTATCTGAGCCTGGCTTCTCGGGCACCCTGAGATCCAGAGGGGTTGGAGACCTAGTTTCCCACCCACAATAAAACCCTGGTGGGAGGTGGGCGTTCTAGAAGAGATCACATACAAATGCACCACCTGTGTGTGCACCATCAGGACAGAAGACTGGGAAAGGCAGTCAGGAACCCCTATGAAAGTTTTTCAACTTTTTTTTAATGTTTATTTATTTTTGAGACAGAGAGAGACAGAGCATGGGCAGGGGAGGGGCAGAGAGAGAGAGAGGGAGACACAGAATCCGAAGCAGGCTCCAGGCTCTGAGCTGTCAGCACAGAGCCCGACGCGGGGCTCGAACTCACAGACCGTGAGATCATGACCTGAGCCGAAGTCCGACGCTCAACCGACTGAGCCACTCAGGCGCCCTGCCTGTGAAAGTTTTTAAAATGTGAGCTCCAGATCTGACCAAACACAGTGTGTGTCCCAGTTCTGCTAATGCTACCTGTTCACACAGGGCACACAATTTGGCCCCTCTGAGCCAAGGCTCCTAGACCTGTAGAGCGAGGTTCATCCCGCCCACCCCCCAGAACTGCCTGCGGAACAGTGAAGTATTGGGAGATCCCTGGCCTACGTCACCCTGTCCGGCAGGCTCAACAACTCACCCATGTGTCTGTCCCCAGAGATCTCCCTGGATGTGGACGCAGACCGGGACGGCGTGGTGGAGAAGAACAACCCAAGAAAGGTACCTAGTTACCAGGGCAGACGGGGCTGGCATGGGGGGGTGGGGGGAGTGCCTGGGGGCAGAGCCCCAGGATGGATCCCGTAGTTTTCCCAGCAGACACAGATAGCTCCCCTTTTACAGAGGAGGAGACTGAGGCCCAGCGCAGGCTCCCACACACGGCACACCCGTGGCAGAGCTCACGGGGGAGCCGGGCTCCTTAAAGCAATAGCTACAGGGCCCTTTCCTGAGTCTCAGTTTCCCGCCCTGCCCCCCCCCCC